CATTCATTTTACTCTAGCATGTTTGTTAAGACCTTTGTTCCATCTCATTTATAGTCTCTTTTACACACAATCATTTTTATATAAATGTAATTAACTGTGTATTCATTCTCTCATATTTTTTGCTAATTTTATGACCTGTAAATTTCCATTATAAATTTTACTTCTTTAATATTACTAAGTTTTTTATTACAATGAGTGATTTGGAAGAGACAAATAAAGGATAATGATAAAAAAATCATATTTATTAAAAATAACATATATAAAACACCTAATTGTCTCTCAAAGGGATGGACGAATTGAACAAAAACCTAGAAACAAAAACCGAGAAAAGCCTATTCTGCAATATAGAGATTTCAAGTTTGATTCTTGCAGTTTTGCCAGATTTAACACTTTTCTTATTTCATTACTCACTTTGGTTTTTTAAATGCAATATTCTTTATATTGTAAGTTCAACAATATGTAACACTTGGTATTTTATCTAGTCACGAAGGTATTATATAAAATTTCTCAGTGCCAAATAGTTTTGAAGTAATTCAGTAAACAGAATGCTGTGATTTTGACAATAATTCATAAAACTAACAACAGCTTAAAGTTTATTGAAAAGTTTTGTGAAATATATAATTGTATTAATCACTTACTGACAGTTGTTTTATCTGTTTTTAAAACCACTACAATAAAGATGGTTTTAATGAAAACGAGCCAATTACTGATTTAATGATGAGGAGCTACGGCGATAGAAATAAATCTTGTAGTAAAGTAGCTAACTTGTTCAACGATACTTACCAAACCATTCGCATAACCATAAAGCGAGGGTACAAAAAATTGAAAAGCGCTTTGAGGAATCTGGACGAGTAAAAGATGACATTCGAACAGGTAGACCAAAAACTGTTATAAATTATAATAAATATAACTTGGATTTATTGCAGAGTTTCGTCAAAGATCCACATACATTCTTTCGAAGAGTTGCACAAATACATGATGTAGATTATGATGTTTATTATATTTATAAAAATTCATTTAAACAATACAAAATCCAGTTTTTGCAAGAATTAAATGAAGATGACTGCGACCATAGATTACAGTTTAGTGGCATAGATATGTTTTATCAACGAAGCAATATTTGTCCTGAAAAACAAGTTTAGAGCAAATTTTAATGAGATATGGTTTCAACAAGATGGGGCTGAAGCTCATTTTGATCTTTATTAGATCGCCGTTATTTAGATCAGACATTTCCCGGACGATGGATTGATTGATTAGATAGTATTGAATAGCCTTCTCGTTCACCAGATTCTAATCTTAAAGGTTATTTTATTGGGGATATTTAAAAAGTAGACTTTATAAAACTAAACCATCAAGTGCTGCAAGGCAAATAATTATGAATGAATGCCTATTAACTTCTATAGAAACATGGAGTAGTTGTACATAGTTTGCATCTGAAAATTTATTGAGAGATTTAGGTCAGAGAGGATCAGACGTAAAGTACGGTTGAACTGGTATTGAAATGGAGTATTCAATAAAGATACAATATACAGGGTTTTACATTTAAAAAACCAAAGTGACTAATGATATCAGAAAAATGCTAGATATCTGGCGACGTTACAAACATCAAATTTTCATATTGGAATGGTGTAGGTATCCCTGTTTTTGTATAACTCAGATCGTCCATTTAATAGATAATTGGGCATTTCCAGATTTTTGGTCCACTATGTATACAGGTTATATGCTATTACTTCAAAAGCTATTGCAGACTTCAGATGGGGAGACTGGCTGAAGCTTCACATGGAGATAAACATAGACTTCACATTGATGTTGGTAGTAGTGGTAGCAGCTAGTAGGATTTTTGTTTGCTACATCTCTTAAATCAATTGTTGGTGTGGTGAATACCACACGTGGAGGTAATTGGGGAGTCTGACCAAAAACAGAGACAATAAGAAAAATTCAAAAACGCAACTCGAAGATGTTGCTTTTTGCACACACGGTTATATTTTTATAATACATGAGGCCACCGGAAAGGGAGTGTAGATATATACGTTCAATCAAGAACCCGCTGGTTTCTCCCTTTGGCCTTGGGTATGTGTATTATGACAGACAAATAATATGCAAGAGGACTATATAAAATTCTAAGTAAAATTAAACAGATACAGATAAACATATTTTTAACTGTAAATGATTAATATCTACAAATCAATTGCGACGTGACAAAGATATAAAAACCAATAGTTGTTTATAGCCAAAAATAAGTTTACAAAAGGTATTTATTGTACAAGCGACAATAATACTTCTTCTTCTTTTTATATAGACATGACTGTCTGTTTTTCAATGTGCTTCTAATAAGTTGTCGTTCCATTGTTTTTGGTGGTCTTCCTACTAATCGTCTTTTTATTTTGGAACCGTCTCTTGCCGTCTTTACTACTCTATTTGTTGTCATTCGGCTTATATGATCGTTCCATTCTACTCTTCTATTTCTTAGCCAGTTCTTGAGGTTCTCCATGTTGTAACCATGCATTTTGTCTTTTTTGGGGAAATTAACATGTTAAATTTTCTGACGGTTATATTAAATTGATGCAGCATACGTTGTAAATCACCTTCACTTTGAGATAGTAGTATTACGTCGTCTGCATAGCAGATTATTTTAAGTTGTTTTTCTCCCATTTGGTATCCTTTTTTAGTTCTTACTTTTTTATTATTTCATCCATAATCAAGTTGAACAATAGAGGACTCAATGAATCTCCCTGTCTTACCCAATTGCCAGCTTCAATAGGGTCGGTTAGTTCTTCTTCTATTTTTACTTTTATTGTGTTATTTTGGTAGATATTTTCGATCGTTTTGATTATTCCTAGAGTTATCTCTCTTGCGTACAATAAGTGGATAATGTCTTTTAATTAATTTCACTCGGTCAAATGCCTTTGTAAGGCCCATGAAACATAATTATGCCGGTTTGTTGTATTCTAATGATTTCTCTTTAATGATTGAATAATACTGAAGATTAAATTGTACCAAAATGAAACAATAGATTAACCATACCAGGTCATGACTAAATGATGGAATGCGAGGATCTGCATACTGACTGCATAAATTAAGATTACGTGTAAATTTGATAAAAACAAAATATCCAAACACAATTAATTAGTTGTAAAATGAATCAAGCTTGGTAATAAAGCACACCACATGCAATCGAAAACAAAAGAATGAATTCATCTTATGTATACGTACTAATAGAAGCAATTCAAAGGTAAAACTAAAAAGAAACTCTGTACACATTTAATTAATTGTAAATAAATAAGATTATGAATACAACCAAAACAGTAATAATAAAATCAATAATACAGTAATAAATAAAGATACAAATACAGTATATCCAAATTTAATAATTTCGAAATAAGAGTAAAATGTTTTGTTAAAAGTTCAGTTAAACAGTTCGACACAATATGAAATAATTTAGCACAACGATATAAATTAACAATATATACACCTCATCTAATTTACATACCGATTCACGTCATTGGCGTCATAGCCCGTGACGTCACATGATACCAACACGAAATATTTAGGCGGAAGGTGTGTTCTTTTTTTAGAATCACTTTGCCGAGTACACTGGCATTACAGCCACTAGACATATTTTATTATATACGCGTAGAAATAATATTTAAAGATTTTTATTAATGTTAACTTGAAGAAATACACAACAATATATTTCATTTAATTTGTATAAATGCATTATAAAGTGTTTTAATGACGAACATTTGTTCGGAAGACACTGTAACTGTAATCCAACGAAGGTGAAATTTTGGCATAAATTGGTAACACTTATTTTATTTGACAGTTGCGGTGTTGACACTTTTTGTACTTTATTATTTTGAATTTTAAAGTGAATACCTCTTGTTTTATATTTTTACTTATTTAATAAAATCTGTTCTTTTTAGATTTAATCTAGATTTAATTTAGATTTCTTTTAAGATCTATTTGATTTAAAATGGGGTCAGGATTTTTTTATACTTTGGCAACTATGTCAACTTCGATCTCTGACGTGCATTGGTATGTAAATTAGATGAAGTATATATAAGTAAACCATACTTATATATAGCAGCAATGTAATTTTTGCAACAAATAGTGTGTATATGGGATGTACTTTACTTGGAGTGAAGATGGTAGCGGGGCTACACCGCAGGTCATGATACTATAATATACCGCAGGTAGGACATATCATTGTGTCGTAGCAGATCTGGAAGGAAAGTGGTGAGTTGAGACGAGTATGTGTGGGCCGCTGGCGTTAGCGCTGATATCGTTTAACCTTTGAAACGAATGATAAGATGTACTAATTTAATTCATATTATCCGCAGTTAGATGGGATTGTCAGTACGATGTAGAAATAATGTTTTTTTAATATATAATCAATATCCATATCAAGTTGCGAAACTGCAACAAGATTTGACATTGAAAATCAGATTTACCAATACACACAAATTTTGTAGCTAGGTGAAAGTTAGTATATGGAGTGTACAAAGATTATTATCCTCAGCCCTAATCCCTTTTGGGATGTGGTGACATCATCAGGCCTTTACAGTTTTTTCACGATTTCCTTTCATCCTTCCCTGTCCTGGGTTCGTTGTTCGGCTTCATGTAACCCTTGGTTAATCAATATTTTTATTTGATCTACCCAACGGTTTGGAGATATTTCCCTAGGTATCTTTCCTTCAACTCTTCCCTCGACTATCAGTTTTTCCATCGTACCTGGTCTTCTAGCAATGTGTCCAAAATACTGCAAATATCTCGGCTGTATTTGTTTAAGCAATCTATCCTTTACTTTAAGTTGTTATAATATCGATACGTTAGGGCGATGATCAATCCAGGATATTCTTAACATGCGGCGGTATACCGACATTTCAAAAGCGTCTAGTTTATTTTTATCCGCATTCTTTAAGGTCCACGTTTCGGATGCATATGTGGCTATGGGAAAAATGAGTGCCCTTACCAGCCTTAATTTTATGTGTAATGTTACGCTAGAATTTTTCCAAATTGTTACCAATTTCATCATAGCTGTTCTAGCAATACTAAACCTTCAACGTATCTCTCTATCACACCCTTCGTTATTTGTTATTAGCGACCCCAGGTATATGAAACTATTTACTACTTCACAGCCCTCAATTTCTTTAATGTGTTGAAGATTATTTCGAGCTCTGTCTACTATCATGATCTTTGTCTTACTCCTATTTAGCTTTGTTTTGCTTTTCTCCTCCAGACATCTCATTATGTCTTCCATTTCTTCTTGATTTGCCGCGATTATTAAAGTATTATCAGCATATCTCATGTTACTGATTTTTTGACTTCCTACTGATATTTCACCCTTCCATCCGTCTAGTACCTTTCCCATAATTTGTTTGCTGTAACTATTAAAAAGAGTTGGCGAGATTATGCCTCCCTGCCTGATACCTGCCTCTGTTCTAAAATGATCGGAATGGGTGTTGTTTATTTTTACTGAGCACTTATTATTTTCATATAGACTTCTAGTTAGTTGAATTAAGTGGTGGGGTGTTCCCATTTCCGCTAGTATACAAAGAGTATGAGGGGTATACAAAGTGATTAACCAAATCGCGACTAAACAGTTGAGCGCCAACTATTTTTTGAAGAAAAATATTAAAACAAAACAGAAAGTTAAGAAATGAATAAAATCAAAAGAAATTAGATTAAAATAATTATTTGAAGGAATATATAACAAACAGGTGACGTTTATACTGTTACAATATTTAACATTTACCTTTCCATTTATAATTGTCCCTTTGCTGCTGTATCATGCTGAAAAGTATTTGTAGCAGCATGAAAACATCTTCTTTTGCAATGTATGAACATAAAATTGGAGTTCGGAATAAAGACTAATGCCAATTTATCACCCTTTCAGCAACATAAGTTGTATTGTTATTTGTTTCTATTATCTTAAAGTAGATAGAGTTATAAAATAATTCTTAATTTTATAATGTTACGCAAAATTTTATAATGTTACGCTTCTGAATTTGTTTATATTAAAACAGATCAACTTATTGTAATCTTTAGAAAGCGTTGTATAATTTAGACCAAAATCGTTATTACAGTATATGGCAATTTATTTATGGACACATATTTTTGGGATACTCCGTATATTTTGTGAAAGTATTGGATACATACTGATCAATAAATACATAAATACATGACATTCACTCAACAGATTCTCAAGAGTATTAGGTAATCGGTGCATGATGCAAATGTCATAAGAAGTATTAAATTTTTTATGTGGTTATAAAAAATATTTAGTATAATGTACCGGTGGTCTGATAAGTAATCTACTTTGAAATGAAAATAATATTTTTTAGAAAATTATTTTATTTTATTCGATATACTCCCCTTTTAGCTCAATACAACGATTCCAGCGATTTTCGAACTTATTTATACCGTCCGAGTAATACGATTCTGGAAGCTGTGCTAAATAGGCGTTTATTTCGTCAATGATTTCTTCGCTCAAGCTGAATTTTTTATTTACCAGCAATATCTTCAGATTTCGGTACACATAATAATCGTAGGGGGCTAATTCAGGAGAATAGGTCGAATTTGAAAGCAATTCGAAGTCTAACTCATGAATTTTTGCCATTGTTATAACGCTATTTTGCATTGTCTTGTAGAAACAATATTTCTTCTGCACATGGGGCCGTTGTTTCTCACTGAGTTGAGAATTGATAGTTTTACATTTTTCAAGATAGTCAATTAAAATTATGCCTTTGCAATCCCAAAAAAATAGTGGCGATAACCTTTCTGGCCTATTGAGCCACTTTAAGCCGCTTCGGACGCCAGGTTTCATCCACGGTTACCAATCGACACCAAAAGTCCGATGGATTGCGCTTCATAAGATTTAAATATACTGCTGGGAAGTAGTCACACTACCATGTCTTTACTCAGCAAAGACGTCAGCCTTCGACAGGATCAGTTTTTCATATTCAAAACTTCCTTCAAATTATGCCTCTTTACTAATTCTTGAGACCTCTACCCATTCATATTCCTTAACTTTACGATCAGCTAAACCACGACCATTGCATGGACTTTATTGACATCTTTCGGTGTAAATGTCGTCCAATATGTGGTTCATGCGACAGGACTTTTCATCAGGCGCCATGTTTTTCGTATAGACAGATTTGCCGTAGTAGTTTATAAATTTATAAAGAAATATTTATTTAATAAAGAATTACATATTTCATAACAACACCGCCTCGTTGTTTCTTTTCGTACAGGTATCATAATAATATTCAATTAAAAAAAATTGATTTGCTAATTGTGACACTTTATTTTTTTAACTAGACTTTAAGTATTTTTTATATAAATTATCTATATTATTTATATTACCACAGAATAATAAACAATTGTTTATTATTCTGTGATATTACTAACCTAAGCCACAGAATAATAAACAATCAGAAGGGCCACTCTCAGATGCCGCCTTTGAAGTTTTTCAGCACGCGCGCCATGTTTTAGGAGGACACAGACATATGATTTGTGTGGTTATGTAATTGTTTATATTTATGTTTAATTATATTATATTTATGTTATTATATTTAACAATGTTAATATAATTGTATAGTATGTCTATGATTGCCGTAAGTCAAATAAACCTGGTTAATTTTTCCATGCACACCACATAAACACTAATTTCTTTAAAATCCTCCTAAAACATGGCGGAACGTCTGCGCGGAGGAGATGCGCGTACTTAATTTTCCGTGGAGAGTGGGTATTCTGTTTGTTTATTATTCTGTGCCTAAGCTGTTTGTTTACAAAATGTTTGTTCGAAAAAAATGGCTGACACTATTTTTTGAAAAAAACTCCTACGTACGGCCACTACGAAATTTACAGAACCAAAATTTTACAATCTAGTCTGAAGGAGGATTAAGTCCGTGTCAGACGGTCAAAGATTTGATTAAACTAGATTGAGCAAACTGACGTAATGACATCATCAGTAGGTTGTTCAAATTTTAAAAATCTACCTGCCACACGTTCATCCAAATTTGTCAATTTATGTCACTAAAATTAGCTTATTTGCTAATTTATTATATAACACTAGCAGAAGAACAACATTTTAGGTCTGGAAGATCATGCACCGACGCTATATTTATAATGAGGCAAGTGCAAGAGACATCATTAGAATACAACAAATCGGCATATCTATGTTTCGTGGACCTTGGAAAGGCATTTGACTGGGTCAAATTAAAAGACGTTATCCACTTACTGTATGCAAGAGAGATACCTCTAGGAATAATTAAAACTATCGAAAATATCTACCAAAACGACTCAATAAAAGTAAAAGAAGAAGAAGAACTAACCGACCCTATTGAAACTGGCAGTGGAATAAGACAGGGAGATTTCCTGAGTCCTCTATTTTTCAACCTGATTATGGATAAAATAATAAAAAACGTAAGAACTAAAAAAGGGTACCAAATGGGAGAAAAACAACTTAAAAATAATCTGCTATGCAGACGACGCAATACTACTCTCTCAAAGCGAAGTTGATTTACAACGTATGCTGCACCAATTTAATATAAGCGGGAGAAAATTTAACATGTTAATTTTCCCAAAAAAAAACCAAATGCATGGTTACACCAGCAAATTTACTAAGATGTAAATTAGAGCTGGGAGGTCAGATAATAGAACAAGTGATGGAGTTTTAAATATCTAGACATCACATTATCTAGCTACGGAAACCTCGAAACCGAAGTGGAAGATCAAGTGAATAGAGCAAACAGAGCCGCAGGCTGTTTAAATGAAACAATTTGAAGAAATACAAATATCGGAAAAGAAACGAAAGACAGAATTTACAAAGCAGTCATCAGACCAATAATGACATACGCGGCAGAAGCAAGACCTGACACAGAGAGGACAAAAAGGATGTTAGAAACAGCAGAGATGAAAACAATTAGAAAAATTGATGGTAAGGCACTATGGGACAGAGCTAGAAGTACAGAGATACGACGTAGATGCAAGGTGGAGACCATCAAGAACTGGGTAAGAAATAGAAGAGTAGAATGGAACGATCATAAAAGCCGAATGATAACAAATAGAGTAGTAAAGACTGCTAGAGACGGTTCCCCAATAGAAAGACGATCAGTAGGAAGACCACGAAAACGATGGAGTGACAACTTACTGGAGGCACATTGAAACACAGACAGTCATGTCTTTATAAAAAGAAGAAGAAGAAAAAGCTAATTTATCAGATGCTTGTGCTTTATTTACTATTTAAATTTTTCATATCCACAATGAAAATTAAAATGCTGAAAGGGTTTTTTATAATAATGTGGTTGATTCACATTGTATAAACAGCTTCTTTCTAGATATAAATCAATTATGTAGAAACTTGTTCCAAGATATTTTAAAGTTTTATTTTTATTTTATAACAAAATAAGAAGACAAATAAACCACACACTGTCAACAAATAAAAAAAGGAAAATGAATTTCATCACGTTATGTCTAACTGCTGATTGTCATTTGTCGTTAGACATTTTTCGACCAATCAAAATTAAAGTTTTCTTAAAATGTCCTTGAAATATAGAAGATCCTCTATTTTCAGATATTTTCTATCCTCTATTTTATATAAACAACAGGATCAGATTTCTTTATCCAAACCAATCTTGAGAAAAGCTATAGAGTTGTCTCAACATAATGTGTACTGGCATTGTAGACTAATTTTTCAACTTGCTTGTCTTTACTTAATGGCTGGACAAGTCAAAAGTGTTAAACCTTGTCTAAAACAATTACAGCAGAGTATTCAAACTATAATGGCTACTGATGACGTATTTATGGGACCTAGTGCCGGAGATATGTTTCTATGGATGCCAAAAGAACATTTATATGTTCTTGTTTACTTGGTTACAGTAATGCACAGCATGCAAGCAGGATATATGGAGAAAGCTCAGAAATACACTGAGAAAGCTTTAACGCAGATCGAAAAACTCTATTTTATATTGAATCACATGTAAATACATTTAATATAAATGCTTTTATTAACCAAACAATTCTAAAAAGATGGCCCGAGTCAGATTGTATTTATACAGATGGATCTAAATTTGACGAATCTACTAGATCCGCTTTTTACCATTCAAATCAAAATATACCCAAAAAATTCAAACTTCCAAGTCAAATGTCTATTTACACCGCAGAGCTCATCGCAATTCTTCAAGCTTTGAGGTATATTAATACCCATCACAAGAGTAAGTTTGTTATATTAACAGATAGCAAAAGTTCGGTAGACAGAATAATATGAACTACATTATAAAGCTCTTCATCGGTAGCGATTATAAGAATTTTAGAAGCTGTCCAGTGACTTACGAATAAAAATAAACAAATCTCTTTGATTTGGATTAA